CCATTTTTAGTTATTGTAGAGCAAGTAAAAATAGTTGCCAACTGCTTGATGTCCCATTCGGACAAGTTAATACTGAGATGGCTGTAATCTGGAGCTGCAGGCTGTTTGATGGTAGTGGCTACAGATTATACAGTGGCTGGGATTAATAACCAGACCCATGCAAGCTACTTTGCTGTTTACGACCACCTCAATATTAACCTGTCCGAATGGGACATGGAGCAGCTGCCAGCTGTCAGATACTTGAGTAGCGTCAAAGACAATGCTGAACAATGCTTCAAAAAATGTGGACGCTTGTATAGCACCATCCATGGTTCAGGCCTTTCAGCGGCCTCTGTGGGGACCTCATGACATCAAGCTTTCTACGAAGCTGCAGGTCTATAGAATGACAGTTACACCAACTCTGTTGCACAGAAATGAAACGTGGGTGAATCGGAGGGCTGAAGATCACTGGACTGATGGTTCTAATTTTCATTGTCTCCGTCATCTGCTCCATATGAAGTGGCAAGACAAGATCAGAAATGAAGATATTCGAAGCCAAATCCAACAATCATCTCCATCAGGGCTGGATCAGTTGCAGCAGCTTTGTTGGTATGGATATATTATAAAAACGGAAGACCAATGAGTTCCAATGCATGCTTATCAATGAATGCTGCTACCCCGCTGGTGACCATGTGGGTGCCAAACACTTCGGTGGCATGACAAGATTGCCAGTGATGGACAGAAACCTCAATATATAACCAGACAATCTTAAGCACCATGCCAAAGATGAATCCAGATGGCGATTGCTTTACAAGAAGGCAACGTACCTTTGGGATTTGCCAAGATGATGATGAAGTGCAAATGGCCTCAGTATTAATCAACCTGAAATCGTTATACTGTATTGTTGCAACTACATCATCTTTTACTCACTAAAATAATCTACATGCCTATGAAAGTTAGTGCCCAGTACGTTTGAAGGAGTGGAAATATACCTGCTTATTGGTAGATGTGGTTGTGATGGGATCCCCCCAGGGTGCAGCCTGGGACTGTGGGACCACTGTGCCCCCTGAACTCTCTCCAGCCTGGGCTGTCTCTCACAATGCCTTGCTAGTGACCAGCAGCAAACCCCTCCAGGTGCTGTGATCACTCAGCACAACAGCATGTGGAGCCCCACACCCAGCTAGATTGTGTGAATGCTCCCAGAGCCACTCACGAATCACACAGAGAAAGGCACCAACCAAATCCCCCCAGCTCCCAGCACTGTGCCCCAGGAATATACCGTCTTGCACTGCTCAAGACGAGCAATACAGATTTATTAATTGGTTCACCACTTCAGCAATGGAAAGTGGACATACACCAGCCTTTGCAAACCTGAGCAGATTTGCCACACACTTCATACAAACTCACTGGTAAAGATAAACAGTAAAACAAATTTATTGACTATAAAAGGTAGATTTTAAGTGATATTAAGTGATAGGCAAAATGTCAGAATTAGTTACCAAAAGAAATAAAATATGACCACGCAGTCTAAACTCTCAACCCTATTAGACTGGGCAACAACTAGACTAAGCAGTTTTTCTCACCCCACTGGATATTGCAGTCCTTAGTATACAGATGTCCCCCTTGAAATCTGGGCCAATCTCCTCTGTTGGAGTCTTGCTTGCAGCGTAGGTGGGGGAAGGAGAAAGGCCAAACATGTGGCCACTCTGTCTGTTTTATACCCTCAGTCCATGTGCTTGGAAAACAAGTCCAGGCATGTCTGGGTGGGCCTTGCTGAGTCCCCAGGCAAGGCTGAGTAATTCCCCTGGTGTGGCTTCATGCAGGTGAGTCATTGCATTGTAGCTCCCTTGCTGGACAATGGTCGTTGATGGATTGTTTGACACCCCGCCCAAGCGTTGGTTACTTTCCTTGTTGTTGCCTCTGGGGAGCTAATACCTCACTGATTCCCTAACTTACAGCATGTTTTAGTGACCACCATACAACACAATCTCATAACTTCCTATTCATTAATGATATACACATATGGACAGAGAAATGACGTTCAGCAGGTCATAACCTTTCCCCTGATACATATAAAGCATGACTTGTAAGGTAAGATCACAATCATATATAAATGAGGAATATGGGGGTTCCAGGACACTCCCCCAAGGTATAGAATGTCACAGTGGTTTTTCTGTGAATGGTCATAAAAGCTATGGTAGATGTGGATGGCTCAAGATTGCATTGGCCTACTACTGAGAGTGTTTTTTTAAAAAGACAAGAGAGATTCATGGGTGACTGCACTTCTAAACGTGTTAGACTGCATTGCTTCCAACATTGGCCATTCTGCAGTTTGGACCAAATTTTGCTGTTATAATTCACATTGATTTTGAGGAAGAGTTGCACTGGTGTAACTCAGCAGAATCTGGTCCTTTAGCTATAGCAATTAAGATTACGGAAGGATTCTGTGTTGTATGAAAGCAAATGAGATTTACTACTGTTACTGAGCACTAAATTTCCTGCATGGTGCTGAATGCCTTAAACTCCCAGGGACTCAGTCAGTCCCATTTTCTCTCCAACCTTTTCCTGTTGAAGCAGGCTCTCTGCCCCTTGCGTGGCTCATTGCACCCTTTGGGGATGCAATCGTGAGTTAGCCACTTACATAAACAAGGAAGAGGACTTTGGCGAAGAGACATTCACAAAACTATGGATTTTACGGAACTGTGCACTCCTAGTGTATTTCACTGAACATCAAGGCCCCCTGGGGAAAATGATTCCGTGCCACAGGGTGGCATTTCTCTTCCTCTGCAGCTGCGGGCCTGAGCCTAAAAGAAAAAAAGAAAGGAGAGAGACAGACAAAAAGAAAAGAATAGCTGGAGAGTCTGGTAGCTAACAAAGTCATTGCTGGCACACTATAAGCTGAAGCTCCATGCTACTGCAGTTCATTTGACAGGGAAGCTCCATTTTGCATGAATGAAGTTAGGGAAATATATAAAAGCTTCCGATAAGAGTTCAACGTCAACTGCACAGAGATATTCTCTGATTTTATTATATGTTTATTATGAATAATAGAGAAGTTACCGACTCACAGGGGACCACATTGCACGGCCGATTGTGAAGCAACAGGATGGTTGGGTAGGAAGAGGAAGATGTCTCTAGGATTCAAGAATGATCACTAGGGCAAGAGCTATTATCCCAGCAGAGATGGCAATTAGAAATCAGTGGGCCTGATTCTCCACTCAGACTGGTGTAAATCAGGAATCATATTATTTGAGTCAATTGAATCACCCTGGTGTAAAGTTAGAGCAGAATCAGGCCCACTAGCCACCATTTCTGCTTACTTGGGAACCTTTTTTTGACTCGTTAAAATGGTGACATTTGATACTTCAGCATTGCTGAGACAACAATGTGACACTGTCTTATCCGATCTATTTGGTGCTGTAAAATTTTTACATGACCATATCTACAGTTCTGCAATTGGGTGATGCTGGCATTTCAACTTGTAAATTAAAAAGAATTTAAAATAGGTTTAAAAGCTACACGTGGACTGGTCAAACTCATTGATATTTCATAACTGGGTTAGCCTGGTAATACTTGAAATTGTAAAAGCTAGAGTTAACCACTGTCTTCATTTGTCTAACCAGACAACAGAAATCAAAAGTCAACCAACACAAAAGAGGAGGGAAAAACAAACAAAAGAAGAGAGAAACAGAGGGAAAAAAGAAAAAAGGAGAGGGGAAAAAAGGCAAGACAAGTGGGATGGTCTAAAAATATCAGTTCCTAATTCTGCAGTTCACATAATACTTGGTACTAAAATTAAAGTGATGGAGGCAAACCTGCAGCCCTGACTCTAGTGAGTAGTCCTCTGCAAGTACCCTACAGAACCTCAGTAGAGCTACTTCTGTGAGTAAGTGGCTGGATCAAGACCCATCTGGGACAGCCAAGCTTTGCAGCATGATTTTGGTAGACCCATGTACTGCTATGCTATCAATTTGTTCCCCCCTGGAGTTGCTTCTTTTCTCTGCTACAGCAGAATCACCTCTGCTGCTGTTGGTGTTTTACCTTTGGGAATTCAGCTCTCCCTGTTCTGTGGCAATATCATTTCAAACATATTTACATGTCAGCGAAGGCCACGGGTCAGACGTGGACTTAGAGCCACTAAAGCTGATAGGGAAGCACTCCTCAATAAGCAGAAGCTATTGTGGTGCTTTGTCCTGTAATGGACACACATTCTAATAGGAAAAACTGGGATCACTCCTCCAATAAAAGGACAATAAACTAATTACGCTGAACTATTCATGCAGCTCCAAAACCAAAAATCAGTTATCAGTTGCAGAGGCAAACTGTGTGTCATCTTTATGGCAGAGATTAACCTTCTACAAAGAAGGCTTTAAAGAGGATTTCCATCAGATCCTTTTTGAGATTTGGTAGGTAATTCATAACCAGAAGCTAGCTGAGTACTATGGAAGTTTTTAGAAATGTTGCTCAAATCCAAATTCCATGCCAGGATACTTTCAGTTTATAATAAAGTCAGATTTTCAGGGCAGTTAGATTTGAATGATTTTCTCCTGGTAAGCATACAGTACACGTCATGTTTATTACCCTTTACAAAGGAGGCAGTTGGGTGCGAGGCCCCAATCCTGCAAACCCTTACGCACGTTCCTAACTTTATGCCCATGAGCAGTCCCCTTGACTTCAACAGGACTAGCTGGGTGCTTAAAATTAAACCCATGCTTAAGTGTTTGCAGCCCAGGGGCCCAAATTTCTTTACCCCATATATCAGGCACACTGTAGTTAAAGAAAAAAACAAGTTACTTTAGGCAGACATATTAAACATAGTAAGATATCAAGCTAGCTTTCAGCAACTCTAAAAATAAAGCTTTACCGATAAGTTATTTCACATGCTCTAGCTTCACTGTATGACATGGTTCTAAAATTAAACGTCCTTTCCCCAGTGCACACAGCGTTACATATTCCAAAGCTACATTTGTAAATAAACCTGCTTTAGCAGTCACAGTGGGATAATCAGGAGGTAACTGTACCTGGAGTAGCAGGAAAGACCAGTGCTAATGACCGTGTTAAGCACAGCAATGGGTACATAACAGTGATGGAAAGTGCTATTGATCCATTCTTCTGGGAAAACATACGTTGAATAAGCAATCGCAGAGCCTGAAAATAAAATCAGTGTCCAGGTTAGTTTTGAATGTTATTAGTGCCCTTCAGTAACCTCCCGGGTAATTTGGTGATCTTGCAGGTTTCAAACAAGCAAACCTATGTTATCCTGTGTTTCTTGTAGACAGATCCTAAATATATTTCAGAGGTGATGAGCACTTGTAGCTCCCTCTGCAATTAGAGAAAGCTGCAAGGAAGGACAGGATTTCAGCACCTTGGAAAATGAAACCATTGATTTTTAAATAAGCCTCCAGATTCAGGGGCAAGACTATCAGAAAAAGTCCATTGTTGTTTGAAGCTGACTGATATTGGATATGTAGTGTTGTTGTAGCTGTGTTGGTCTGGAGAAAAGGTGGTTGAAGTGATATCTTTTATTGGACCAACTGCAGTTGCTGAGAGAGGTGTCTGTCTCTCTCACCAAGGGGAGTTGGTCCAGTAAAAGACATTACTTCACCTACCTTTGTCCTCTGATAGTGGATAGTCTGCCATGGACTTGATCAGAGGTGTCTGCGAGTGGACTAGGGACCTTAATTTAACACATGTGAAAGACAAAATAAGGAAAAAAGTTTCATCATTTCAGATACTAGGTTAAACACTTCATTAATTAGAGCTTTGAAACTGGTCTGTATCACAGGACAGAAACAAATTGACTTAGGACAATAGCATTCCCCTATTTATTGGCAGCCCAGCCTGATAACATTCTATTCTAGCTATGTTTATACCTCTTTTTCTGGTAGAAAAAATTAAGGCAAATTATGTAGCTCTGGGCTGATTCTGTTCTCACTCACATTGGGTTTTATGCCTGTGCAATGCCATTGACTTCTTAAATATAAATAAATAAATGGAGATATCCTATCTCCTAGAACTGGAAGGGACCTTACATTGAGTCCAGCCCCCTGCCTTCACTAGCAGGACCAAGTATTGATTTTTGCCCCAGATTCCTAAGTGGCCCCCTCAAGGATTGAACTCACAACCCTGGGTTTAGCAGGCCAATGCTCAAACCACTGAGCTATCCCTCCCCCCAACTTCAGTGGAGTTCCTCTTGATTGACCCCAGCGTAAGCAAGAGAAGAATCTGGCCCAGAACCTTTTGTTTTTTCCTGTTGTAAAGTGACAGAATTGTAGTTTGCTTCAGCCTGCTCCTTTCAGATATTTTACAAAAAACGAAGAGCCCGACCCTGCAACCAGTCCTAACTCAGGCATTTCCCCAGCAGTGACTGCTAGGGCTAAGTCAGAACTGCAAAATCGAACCCTTCAATGGATTTTTTTTAAATTGCAGTGGAGATGTTCGTACGTTTCTGTTATATTTATGTGGTTGCCAGCGTATATGCTTTCTTTAGTGTGATTCATATTTATGCTTGAATTATTTCATTAAGTGCTGAAGATAACTTTATCGTTCCCGTTGCTGTCAGCACGACTTCCTTGTAACAGAGATGACGCATCCCACGGGGCCCATTCCTTTACAAATATAATAAATAAACCCAAAGGCAGTAACTTCATGTCAGGATATCTCTGATTTATAAGCAAGACAGCCAGGTCCCTCTGGATCCTTATGTAGATGCAGATTAGACACATCACAGAGGGGAAACTCTGACTCAGAGCAGGGTACTTTCAGCAACCCCTTGTATGACTGTGCACTGATCAGAATGACCAGCAACTTCAAAGGAGGCTGGACATGTCCCGTGATAACAGATAAAACATGCTATGTTGGCACTGCAGGAATGCAGAACATCTGAACCAGCAGGTTAGGTCTAATTTACCTTACTTAGTTTTTTGGGGGGCTATGGAATTATTTGGATCGTGCGATTTCATCCTTTTACTCTGAGCATTAGCAAAATGGCAAAATCTAAAAATGTTGGTGACACATGTGTTTTACAAGCCACAGGCCACTCCAAACCGAAACAGCAGGTGTAATCCATTGTAGACAAAAGCATGGAATTAATTCACAAATGGTGAGATGGTCTGCATCTCCCTCGATGGTATCAATAAATAAAACCAGAGCTATTCTCACACGGGTTGCATGTACTCAGCATTCTTTCTATAGAGCCATAATAGTGTCAGGCCACTGCTTTGGTCCCCTCTACCTCCAAGATTAGCCATTAACACATAGCACAGATTCATGATAGAAAAAAGTCACAGTTTTACTTCAACGCTCCCAGACAAAGTGACTTTACCAAATGTTAACATGCAGGACTGTACTTCAACATTCTGCGGATGGTAGTATCTAGCAAGCCACGTCTTTGACTTCGGCAGGCATCAGAGTTGGATGAAGTGTGTGTGTGTCTGTCTGTCTCAAGCCCTGGGTGTGTCTTCAACACAGTCATGTTGCAATAGTTAAGGACAAGAGGTCCTCCAATCTCCCCTTGCTAATCGGTGGAGCAGGATTTCAATTCTTGGCTTGATGCAGGACTTGACTTGGGGGGAACAAAAGTAGCTTTAAGCCATTTTTCAGCTGTCAATCTCTTGGTTCCTGGCATAAATACCAGCAGCCTCGGGACTTCCTGTGTGACTTCAGACAAGGCATTTAAACTCTGTGCTTTAGTTTCTGTAACATGGGTATGACAGTACTTCCATACCTCATGAAGGTGTTGTGAGCCTTACTTCATTAATGTTCATAAAGTGATTTGAGATCCTTGAATGGACGGTGCAAAGCATGAATTATTATTAACTGAAAAACACCCATAGCAATCCCAAAATACTTGACATTAAAGACGAATGAGAAAAAAAAATGAGACACTGGGCAACTTTTTCAAAAGTGCCTAAATGACTTAAAAGCCTAAGTCCTATTTTCAAAAGTGAATTAGGATCCCATGTTCCATTGACTTTTAATTAGATTTAGGCTCCTAAATACCAAAGTCACTTTTGAAAATGGGGCTTAGGCCCAGATCTTTAAAGGTGTTTAGGTACATAATTCTTACTGATATCAATGGGAGCTAGGGGCCTAAATACCTTTGAGGATCTGGGCCCCAAGTCACTTGGATGCTTTTGAAGATGTTGCCAATTATTCTGTTACATATTTAACAAGACAATGTTTGGAGACTCTTACCTAAGCTGTACATACTAAGGGCACCATAATCAAAGAAATAACAAATATGTCTCGCCTGGATGGACATCGTACTGAATGTGTGGGCACAGCTGGATGTGAAAGGATAAATACAGCACGTGAGCATGTAGGCAAGAAAGGGCCAGGCATACATGTCGTTCCAGATATCCAGCGAATAGGCCAAGGCAAACAACTTCCATAGGAAGTACCTGAAATACAAAATATTGAGTTAGTACCTTGTGCGTTACTAGTGAAATGCCGCCCCATTGAAATCAGTGGCAAAACTCCCATTCTCGAGGATTTCACCCTCACTGATTTATTGTTATTTTGTCAGAACTACGATGAATGCATTGATTATTATTTGAGTTCTCAGTTATATTTTCCTTGTCCCTCCATTAGAACATTTCCCACCCAGGTCCCATAATCCTTCAGTCACCCCCCATCACAAACAGCCATCTACTTAGGGTGATTTTAAACATTTGAAAATACAGCAGTTAATTAAAACCAGCTCAAGTACCAGGCAGGCAAAAAGTGTGTCCATATATTTAGTGTTTCGTTTGTCATCTGGAAGGCACTGAGGAGACAGTCTGCTACAGAACTTCTTGGATGCCGATACCCAAACAGGATGCCCTGCTCTCGAAACACCTGCAAGGGGATGATTAGAAGTGCGTTGTTTAGCTGGACTGTACAGTCTGTATATTTCGCAATGTGTCACAGGAATTGGAGCATGAGATGCCCAATCCTGCAGCTAAACTCCCACTAAACATCTCCTTGTAAAAGGAGAACTTTATCAAGCTGCAGTGCAGAATATTAATTCAGAAAGCATGCTACAAAGGCAGGAGAACACATGTTAACAGTGCAGTAGGGTTGTTGCAGAAACATGGTTGCATGTTCTCGTCTAGGACATGGGCTCGGGGGGTGAGGAACAATCGAGGTAATAGCTGCTAAACAGGGCCCTAAGAACGGCCATACTGGGTCAGACCAAAGATCCATCTAGTCCAGTATCCTGTCTTCTAACAGGTGCCCCAGAGGGAATGAACAGAACAGGGAATCATCAAGCGATCCATCCCCTGTCGCCCATTCCCAGCTTCTGGCAAAAGTGTGAGGATCATGGGGAAATTCTTGATTAGGACCATGAGCTCAAAGGACATCTACATATAGGAGCCGACCCTCTACCTGCGAGCCTGCAGCAGAACTGTGGGCAATGGCTGGTCCCCCAGCTGCTAACTGCTCCTAGCCTCTGTCCCCTCAGTGGCATGTGGAAGCTAGGCTGCAGCTCAGCTCCAGCCCAGCCCATTTCTGCAAAATTAGGTCATTCCGAAAATGGTCACTGATTTGCAGGGCCTCCAGTTGGGAGCCACACGAGAGACACTTTGGGCCTGATTTTCAGAGTTGTTGAAGAAACTAGCAGCTGTTGGGTCCTCAGCAATTCCGAAAATGAGCCCACTTAATTAGGTGCCCACATCTGGACTAAGGGTATGCCTACACTGCATCTGGGAGGGAGCCTACCAGCCTGAGTCCACAGACTTGTGCTGGCAGGGCTTGCGCCAGCGCATTAGAAATAGCAAGCAGGGCTGTTGCGGCTTGGGCTGGAGCTGGCTCTCAAACCGGCGTGGTGGGGGAGACTTGAGAACCCAAGCTCCAGCCCCAGCCACAATGTCTACACAGCTCTGTTTAGCGTGTTAGCAAAAGCCCCGCCAGCACAGGTCTGGGAGGCGCATTCCAAGATGCAGTGTAGACATACCCTAAGGGGCCTGGCTTCGGGCACCTGTTTCTGAAAATCTTGTCCTTTAAGTTCAGACTCTTTAAATGAATTCAAAATATTATTGAAAATCATTATCAAAGTATTTGATCAAAAACCTGGTTTTTGGTGAATAAGTTTTATAAGCATTTTATAATGTTTTCAATTAAAAAAAATTAAAAATACGCTGAAAAAAATTCTCTGCACTGTTTTTTCAATGCCTCTCTTTCAAACTCTTCAAAACAAAAAATTACACAAAACAAAACAACTTCACCATTTCAAAAATTTCCACAAAAATAGTTTTTTTTCCCAGCCAGGTCGAGGGCCACTGATTTGGACATAGGGTTTGGCCAACATGCTTTAATCAAAAGATTCACATGTAGAGCATTAGAAGAAAGTTATAATTAAAAAGAGAAGTTGTAGCTGAAGTTTTATTAGGCTACTGAGCCCACACAGATCAGCAGCCAAATAGGAGATACATTTAACAAAACCTTACTTACTTGAGGCACTTGATTAATACTGAGTTGCCTGGGCAACTTCCAACTCAGCATTGTGTGTTGGGCTAGGTGGTGTTGATTTTGGCTTGGAATGCTTGTTAAATCTTCACCTCCTTAGAGACAGACTCCTACGTAGTCTTCATCTATGGCCTCAGGCCAAACTCAGCGTTATTTACACCTTCCTGTCTCCTCGCCCGGCTTGTTGCCAAGACCCCCAAGCGCTTTGGTGCTAGGGAGAGCAAGAGAACAACACAAGGGAGATTGCTATGCAAGAGGAACAAACAAGGTAACTGGATTCAAACCCTCATTGGCAGCTCTAGCCTGTGTCACATCCCTATCAGCTGCTCTCTTTTCTGTTTCTATACCAAGTTAGGGTGCCAGTTTGGGATTCTTGGGTTTAGTGAAGGCAGGTGTGATGTGGAAGGCAAGACAGTGACATTCACCCCTGTGCAAAGCCTATGCACAGAGTATGTCGCACGTAGGCCATCAAAATGGGCAGACGTGAAACCTATGCTCTGTGATGACCTTTTGCACGAGGGAATGAGTACATAGAGAGACTCGGAACTCAGCGCCAGACGCTGCAGGCCTTACTCAGGGCTTGAGCGGTCCCACGGCTTTTGAGAGCAGAGGGTACTCAGAGCTGGAAGAACCAGCTTTGAGGCACAGAAAGGAGAACGGCGTCTCCATGGCAATGCCCTTCCTCCTAATCCCAGGGAAGCCTCTTCATTGGATGAGGTACTACCAGGCTAGGCCCAGTGGGTACTTTGAGACCCCAGCCTTCTGGAAACTACCAGGGGTCTCCAAGGAGGAAAGCAGGATGTTGTGTAACATAGATCCCCATGCAAGCAAGTGAAATCCCTGCAATACGGGCCAATCGGCAGGCCTCTACAGCACTGGCACAGGGACTGGGAAACAGGGTAGAGGTATTGGATCTCTGCCTTGAATACTGCGTGCAGATGTGGTCATCCCAGATATATTGAAATTGGAAAAGTTACACAAAAGAGCAACAAAAATGATTAGGGGTATGGAACAGCTTCCATATGAGGAGAGATTAACAAGACTGGGACTTTTCAGCTTGGAAAAGAAACGACTAAGGGAGCATATGATAGAGGTCTATAAAATCATGCCTGGTGTGGAGAAAGTAAATAAGGAAGTGTTATTTATTCCTTCTCACAACACATAACATAAGAACTAGGGGTCACCAAATGAAATTAACAGGCAGCAGGTTTAAAACAAACAAAAGGAAGTACTTGTTCACACAGTCAACCTGTGGAACTCATTGCCAGAGGATGTTGTGAAGGCCAAGATTATAACAGGGTTAAAAAAAACAACTAGATAAATTCATGGAGGATAGGTCCATCAATGGCTATTAGCCAGGAAGGGCAGAGATGGTGTCCCTAGCCTCTGTTCGCCAGAAGCTGGGAATGAGCAACAGGGAATGGATCACTTGGTGATTACCTGTTCTGTTCATTCCCTCTGGGGCACATGGTATTGGCCACTGTCGGAAGACAGGATACTGGGCTAGACGGACCTTTGGTCTGTCCCAGTGTGGCCGTTCTTATGCCTATGTGGACCTTGGGAGACCTGTAAGTTTGGGCTAGAGCTGAGCGAATAACCAGTATTTCAGTTTGGTGGCCGAGCTGAAAAAAACAGAGAAAAAAAGTGTTATGGATCCCACCAAAATGAAAACATCTCTGATTTCCTGGCAAAATTAAAAAATTGAAATAATTTCATTTTGTTTCATTCTGATGGGTTTTAAAACATAATTTAGAGAAATTCAAAATTGGAACATCTTTCCAAAACAAAAAATCAAAATGTTTCATTCTGGAACATTTCTGAAACTTTTTGCCTTTTTTTTTTTTTTTGAATTCACAGATTTTTTTGGTCACCCCACAACTGCATTTTTTGGTGGAAAAAAAACTAGTCTCATGAAAAATTTTACCCAAGTCTAGTTTGGGCCCTGCCTAGTCTGTCATGGGGGTCCAAACTCCCCACCGTTGATGGAAATATTGGGAGGCAGCTCAGATGCCCACTTGAATTGACATTCTGGGGCCTGATGCAGCCAATCAACCCACACTGAAAGCTCCCATCGGCATTGACGTGTGCTACATTCAAGGCAGGACTGGCCCCTTTGTAGAATGTCACTTGTTTCCCATATTCTTCTGCGGGTGGTTCCCATTACAAGGGGAATACGCAGCACGAGTGGCATTATTTCCTTAATACTCCATCTAGCGGTGTCTGAAATTTCCATTTATCATCACACACAAAAATCACTCAAGAGAGAACCGGCGAAATGGCAAGAGGACCAGCCTTCCATGTGCAGTACTGTGCTACCACTCAGATGGTCTCTGCTCAGCTATGTCCTTGGACATCAATAGACTGGGGAGGTGAGATGAGGGGCAGGCGGGCTCTCCTTAAAGGAGTGGGGAGATGGGGGGGATCCAGGCAATGCTGCCAAACCTGCAGCTGTTTGGGGTAGTCTCAGGCATGGGAGCCCCTCCTCATTCCAGCCAGTATCAGCCAAAATACTAGTTTAAGTGCTTATTGCTCCCAGTCCAATGCCACAAGGTGTGGAGTACAAACTCCTCCATGCCCAGTGACAGCTCGGTGGTGTTAATAACATGCAGCCCCTGGGAAATCAGTATGTCTCCCCCTTTATCTCAACCCCTACTGGCAACTTTCCCTAACAGTAAAACTCCGTCTGTCCGGCCCTCTGGCCCCAGCTGGCATTGCTGAGAAGGTTGGGAGGTAGCTGGGAGACTATCAGATGCTGAATCCTGGGCATTGGCAGCTAAGGGCTAGCTTGAATGCCCTGGCAGGGGGGCCCAGATGTGTTGGAATAGGTCCTGGGAAAGAGACGCAAGCTGCCGGCTTCTACAGCAGCCAAAAGGGGCCACGCTGCACTCCTGATGTCGGAAAATGCAAAAGGATAAAGGGTGGGTGTTACAATAGTCTGCAGTTGTTAGAGGCGCAAACTCAGGACTCCTGGGTTCTAATCCCAAGTTTGCCACTGACTCACTTTGTGAGCTTGGACAACTCCCTTCACCACCCCGAGCCTTCACGTCTCAGCTGTGCAATGAGGGTAACAAAACCTGCCTCACCGGGGTGCTGTGATGCTGAATAAGCTAATGTATTTAAACCTGTCTGGGACGGAGGCAGGGGAGAGGAGAGCCCCTTTCCATGGTTTCATCAAACTCCCAGCCTTTAACAGGTGCAGTGACGGTCAAAAGTGCTCCTTAGCCTTTCAGAATTAAGCAACATTGCTGTCAGCTTCGCTTAGGCTACAACAGAAACAGAGCATTGAAAGTGACCGGCTATGGAAAGGTGTTTGTAGCGCCATCTACAGGACATTCCTTGGCACAGAAAGGGACTGAGGTTTCCCAGACTGTCCCATAACTTGCTAACTCACAGAAAAATGAAGTGAGTTCATTAAAACAAACATTCTGCTGAAACCATTTCAGAGAACACTCCGTTTTCAAACCTTCTCCTTTTTGAATCTGTTGGCTCACAATTGGCATGTTGCTCTTACTCCTGGCATGGCAATGATTTTCTGACAGCATTTACAATCATGTTCATTTATTGCCATGCACCTATTTCAAGCCTACCGGCGCAGGGCTAGGTTGACAGACTAATTCCTGAGGTTTCCTCTGGGGGGGTGGTCATGCTGGGAATGCATCCAGGGCCTGGGATGCCTCTCTTTGGAATGGCAGGTGAACGGTGAAATGTCTGTGCACTGCTCACAGTTCCCCAGAGCTTTTTTGGTGTCTGTTTCTGCAAAACCTTTTCAAACGTCTAACTCAGGCAGCCTCTTCCGATTCCTGACAGCTTTCTTTCTGCATGAGAGAGACCGCTTTCTTTCCTTTTTGGACCACTTCCCACAGCATGCAACTGCAGAGCCCTACTTCCGTGCTCTGTGCTAACCTATTGCAGGCTGCTGGAGTTGAATCAGCAGGCTCTCTAGCTCCAGGTCCACAGACTTCTTACAGCCTGAACATACGTCCTACTGTGTAGTCAAAGATTGTGGAGAAGGGTCATTTAAGGGTGAGTATCCAAACGTATATTTTATCAGCTTGCCTCGCCTTCCAGTAGGCCTGTAGCCAAGTGTTACTAACACAGCCACATACCAATCGCAGTGCCTGGACAATATTTAAAACAGTATTATCCAAGTGACAGAAACTGGCACCACAAACTTAGATTTGAAAATGGCAGTTTCATTATTTTCTATAGCAATACACACTTCTTGTGACAGACAGCCCAATTATTCCGTCTTCCCCTTTTCTCTTGTGCATAATGTCCCCGTCACAACTCCCCTAACAGCTGAGGGGCAGCAGCCCAGTACAGGATCAGACTTTAAATGTAGACACACAGCACCAGTGGTAGAAAAACTCCATATCAAGCAAAGCCTTTGATATCCTTTTCCACCCTACTTCTCTGGGTAGAGAATAATTGTAAACACACTCCCCTTTTATTTTCCTGCAAATGCCCCACACCTTATCATTAGAGTTTGCCTCACTCTCTCATATCCATCCTTCCAACACTATTAAACACAGTTTGTGGCTGTGCAACTCCCGAGCTGCACTGTATAATGGGAGTCTTCCGTGCAAAGCTACTTCCCAGGGAAAAGGGTTAGATGTTCACTCATCTATTTTAAAAGAAAATGAACATATCCCAGAAATGTAATACGTGACATGAAAACAATCAGAAATGCTTTTGAAGTTTACATGTCTGATTTTTTCCATGATCCGTAATTACTTTAATTCTTTCAGATTTACAACCAGGGTCCCACAGGCTCAGAGTTTTGTCTTGTTACATGCAGTGTCTGGTCTGTTAAGGTCCCCTTTTTACATAGGATTGGAAGGGACCTCCTGGGTCACCATGTCCAGGCCTGTACTTTTCCAGGCAGCCCCCTCATAGAATTCCCTTCTGAAATTTATCAAGCTCCATCTTCAAACTAGTTTGTTTGTTTGCCTGTATTAGGGCTAATGGGAGGCTGTTCCAAAACGTCACTCCTCCGATAGCTGGGAACCATCTCATTTCCAGCCTTGATTTCGTCA